AGGGAGTGTAGTAATCAAATCCTTACCTCCTTGTTGACAGGATCCCAAATCAACAGGTCTGGTGTGTACAAAACATCCACTGAATTCAAAAGTCAGGATGGGCTCAAAGTCCCATTTCAGTGTTCATGTTCTTACTATTTCTAGTGTGACTTTCACAGAACCCATCCTAATAAAGCTCTTGTTCAGGTTCTAGGTTATTTGCCTAGATAAATTTGTAATGTAGGAACAGTCTGTTTTGGGAGCAAATTCATCCCTGGAGGAAGTGAGTATTGTAGTCAGTCAATGAGATTGCCCCTACTTACACCACAGATGAATTTATTGCTTTGTCCCAACATTTCTGCTTTGCAATATTTCACATTCCAAATTATAAACCTCTGAAAATTGTAGATTATAATAAATGTGTTGACACAACTTCAACTGTTACAGGAAATGGCATTGCTCTAATAATAAAATAAAAAAACCTACTTAATCCTATTCTTTACCTAAAGTGGTGTTTTGCATTAGCTATGGATGAAAAGACAAACAAGTACATGTATATTTAATAATAATGTTAGCTGGGTCAGAGAAGAATAGGAAATAAAATGAATTCATAACACCCCTGGAGGCAGCTTTCTGATACAGGCAGTTTTCTCTTTGATTTGCCCTCATTGGCAGTATTCATTGTAATTTTAACATAGCCTACAAATTGGCCTTTATTAATAGCTGTCCTGATCTTAATAACAAATAAACTCTGTAATCTCCAGTCTGGGTGCTTCTGAAGTGAACAACTGTATAGAGCAGAATAGATTATATGGGTACTTAGAGGGACCTCTCACTCAAGAGGGCCTAATTTCACATTCAGACATCCAGACAGTGTTTTGGAGAGCTGTAGATACAGAGCTCTTCTATCTCGGGGCTTTGAAGCTAAAATACCTTTCTAGGTATGACAGTGAGATAGTCACCTTGAATTAAGGTTGCTGGCAATCTTTTAAAAGTCCTTATTGGGCTTTGAGTGCAATGAGATGGTACTTGCTTATAAATTAAAGTTAATAGAAACATTAAACAGTGCAAGCTACTGTGATCCTTGTCTTCAGAATATTAAACACATTTTAAAATTGTGGAACACCATCTAGTCTTCTGTGTTCTGTAGAATATTACATTTTCTAACCAATACTCTCTGGGAGCAGGTTATTTGAAATGCTCAGAATTCTACATTTGCATGTACTGTGTATATTTAATTTATTCCTCACTTCTCTGGCTACCATGTATTTTTGGTTGATACCATAATCAAATTCTCTTTAATTATTCCATCTGCCAGAAGAGTGTGATACATTTTAGAAGCTGGTTGGTTTAGTTGTTTAAGCTTTGAGTTTTGAAACTGGATGGAATGACATATTCTTCATTTAGCAGAATGGTAAAAAAATAATTATATACTCCAAGTGATAAGCTTGGAACTGCTAAAGAAATGCCAAAATCCAATTTTTTTCCTCTCTCTAGTTTTCTAAACATCCATTAGTCTCTTGAAGGAAACTCATAAATCATGCAAATTTAGTTTCTCTGAAACCAACTCTAACAGTTGTCCTTCCTACTAATCATGTTTTATATCAATTTTATATTTTTCAATATTCAATAAACATGTACTTACTGTACTTGTTAGAAAGCATCTGCAGTATAGGCTGTGTGAGGACAGTTATTAATCAGCCATTTCAGATGGCTGTAGGGTTAGTTTAATAAGTGTATCCATTTATCTTTTTTATGTTTTCTTCTTTGGTCTTTCCGTTTATCCAATATGGAATTTCTTTTGTCCTTTTTGGTTTATTTATACAAATAACAAAAAAACCCACAAGAAAACCCCACAAAAAAAACCCAAAAGCAACACACCCCCCCCCCAAAAAAAAAAAACACAAAAAACCCCAAATCACCCAATAGCTGAAAGAAAGAAAACACACCACCCTTTGGATTTCATTCATGAAATTATGAAAAGATCTTTGCATTATATCCATCCACTTAAATCTGCATTAAAAAATAACAATAGAATGCATTATCTAGCAGTGATTCTTTAAAGCAGTGGATAATTTACACATTAAAGTGAAATGTAGGTTTAAAAATAGGAGTGTAGGTTTGAATTAGAGTTAAGAGTCAGAATGATATAGTCCTGTATGAAAATGGTCTCGGTTTCCTGGGGGTATTGTCCTTCTGGTGTAATGAGACTTGCAGATAACAATCAGGGACTGTGGATAGATCAAGGAGCAGCGATACATTGAGAATGGCACAGCAAGTAATGGCTCTGGGGAAACAAATGAATGTGTCTGCTAGATAAACAGCATTAGAAGTTTCTGTTGATCACCAAAGTCCAGGCCTCTAAAGATTAATAATTCCTGAAAAATTGAATATTGGGTTTCAATGGCAAGGTTTTGGTACCTGGGAGGCTGCAGGGGTGGCTTCTTTGAGAAGCTGCCAAAAGCTTCCCCCGTTTCCAGCAAAGCCAATGCCAGCCTCCAGGATGGACCTGCCACCAGTCAAAGCTGAGCCCAGCAGTGACAGTGGAAGTGCCTGTGGCATAACAGTTTTTAGAAAGGGAAAAAACTGCTGTGCAACAGCAGCTGGAAGAGAGGAGCTGGAGTATGTGAGAGAAACAGCCATGCAGACACTCAGGTCATTGCAGGAGGGGCAGGAGATGCTCCAGGGGCCAGAGCAGAGGTTCCCCTGCAGCCCCTGGTGCTACCCTTGGAGAGGTGTGCCCCTGCAGCACCTGGGGGTCCATGGGGAGCAGGGATCCAGCTGCAGCCCAGGGAGGAGCCCACACCAGAGCAGGGAGATGCCCAAAGGAGGCTGTGACCCCATAGGAAGACTGTGCTGGTAGGACATGTGTCCCTGCAGAGAGAGAGAAGTCCACACTGGAGCAGGTTTGTTGCCAGGACTTGTGACTCCATGGGGAACTCACACTGGAGCAGCCTGTGCCTGGAGGATGTACCCACAGAAGGGACCCACTCTGGAATGGTTCCTAAAGAACTGCAACCTGTGGAAGGATTCAAGTTGAAGAAGTTCATGAGGGGCTGGCTCCTGTGGGAGGGACCCCATGCTGGAAAAGGGGAAGCATGGGAGGAGTCCTTCCCCTGAGGAGGAACCTGCAGAGACAATGTGCAATGAACTGACCATAACCCCCACTCCCCATCCGCTTGCACCACTCTGACTGGGGAGACAGAGAGAATTGTCAGTGAAGTCCAGCCCAAGAGGAAGAGAAGGGTGGGGGAGAAGGTGTTTTGTCATTTGGTTTTATTTCTCATTGTCCTACTCTGATTTCATTGGCAATACTTCTAATTGATTTCCCCAAACTGAGTCTGTTTTGCCCATGACAGTAACTGCTGAGTGATCTCTCCCTGTCCTTTTTTCCATCCACAAGCCTTCTGTTACATTTTCTCTTTCCTGTCCAGATGAAGAGAGATAGAGCAGCTTTAGTGGGCACCTGGCATCCACACAAGGTCAACCCTCCACAAATACTAACTTTTAGAAGATTTTTTTTTTTTTTTTTTTTTTTAATCCATGCTGCAGTTGTACTTTTATGGGTTCACATGTTACAGGGAGGCATCAGCCATTTATCAGGATGCTAATGTCTGGTAGTTATGTGTCCAGATACTTTGTAGCCACAGGGTTGCCCGACAAGAGGTCACTGAAATACAAATGACTCACAAACCTGTTTAAAGATCTCCTTCATTTTTTAAGGGCAACACCAGGACTTCAAGTGTTCAAAAATTTCCACATTGGGATTATTGTCCCCTCTTAAAATTCCATGTGTCAGGAGACTTCCATGATTTACTGGTAGTCTTCAAACAAAAAAAACCTTCCTAACAGAACATCCATTGATTGCTAGTTATTTAACGGCTAACAATAAAAAATCATAGACTTTAGTCCCCATCAAGGCAGAAAGGAAATAATTGCAATTTGCAAGCCTCCTGCCGTGGGTAAAGGAGTTTGGGCTGGCAGAAAGGAAGATCTGCAATTTTAGTGGCTGCCGCAGCAGGTCACAGAGAGATGTACTGATTCATTCGTACGTCATCCTGTGACAAGACAATTTGTCAAGGTGAAAAGATGGGTGTGAGGTAGAAGTGTGCCCAGATGATTATCAGCTCAGATAAAAGCATGGATATATGGGAAGCTGTACAGGAGTTTACTTGGTGGCTGCTCGTCCCTCTAGGTAGACAGATCCCTAAGTAAGAGACCTTTTCTGTCTCTGTAGCAGCAAATAACATGGTTTCTTACCCCATGTATTTTCTTGTATCTATGTCTTGGATTAAAAGAAGTCATATGAGTGTTAATGCAGTAATTTACAATTCAACTCTTCCTTTTACCAAAGGAAGGGAAAGAGGCAAAGGGACAACCTCATCTTTTAGGAGCTTCCTTCCCCTTTAACCAAGGGCAAGGCTCAGGCCTGTGAGATTTCCCTGTATTAATAAACAAATAAATAAATATGGGGGTATTAACTGGCAGGTTCCCAGATTGGAAAATATTTGCTCTGCCTTTGGACACTAACAACTGTGAGGTCTCATCAAACCTCAAACAAGCACCTTCTCTTTTTGTTATTATCCACTTTGCATTCTTATTTCGATAGGGTGGGGATTGGTACCAGAAAGGAAATTGGTGGTGCCCCAGACTGAGAATGAAATCTGGATGACTTTTTCTCAGTTTTTATCAGTTTCAGAGCAGAATTTCTCTTCTGATTTAGAAACACATGTAGGTGTATATGGACTAATCCCTGTGAGACAATGTGGAAATAGGAGAGGACACGAAAGAGCAGCTGACTGCCAAACTTCATGATGGAAAAGTCTGAAAGTAATTTGTTCCTCCCTAGAATCACCAAGCATTAATACATAGATTATTCATCGGTTTACTTACCTTTGGTCTAATTTTGCTGTTGTTGAACTGAAAGACAGTTTTTCCTTTGACTTTGCTGAGATTTGGCCCATTGTGCATAAAGTTAATTCATTAAATGTAATTCTGTATTGTTTCTCTTTTTTTTCCAGAATGCTTGAGGATGATCTGAAACTCAGCAGTGATGAAGATGACAATGAACAGGTAAATACATCTAATAATATGTGCTTAGATAATTTAAACTGACAAAGTTATTTCATTGGTTGTCTCTGTTTGTGTGTTGACTTACTATATTTGCATGAAAAGCATTTTGGTGTGCTGCAGAATCCATTAGCTTAAACCTTCCTCTCATTAGAGGAAACACTCTCAGACAGGAATGTATTTCAATTTTGCTGGTTAACTTTGTGAAGTGGATTAAACTAAACCAAAATATGACTTACTAACCTTTGAATTAGAGACCACATGCAGCATCACCCAGGAACAGCTCGTGTCCTAAATCTCTGTCCTCCATTGTACCAAGCTAACTGTGGAACAGCCTCCCCTTGCCTTGCACCCATTTTCTGAATTGATGAGCTATTTGTAAGTGTGTGTAAAAGGACCACATCAGAGCACCAACACAACTATGGAGTTTGTTTGCACTTTGCAATCCATTTATACAAGACCACGTGAGAAAATTTAGTCTGTAAGTGTTTGTTCCAGTCAGAGAGTAAAGGGTTGGAAGTTGACAGTAATCCAGTGGCTCCCATTTGTAAAAGGGAAGGCCCTCAGCATGTAACTGTAAATCAATACTGAAAGTTTCTGCACATACTTGGGATGTTAATGAAGAATCATTTTCAGAAAACTGGCTCATGTCATTCTCTATCCTTTCCACTTTATAAATATTTATGGATAGTGCTGTGAAAGAAAGCTGGTGAAGTTCATTTTCTCAACATTTTTACCAGAAAAAAAAATGAAAGTTTGTGTTGATTCATCTTTCATCTTACTTTATATATGCAATAGGTGCAAATGTTTAAATGTCTGCAATAGAGAGGAAGGTAATGCTATCATTCAGCATAAGATCATCTGTCCAGTCTGAGAAATGTTAATCATAGGCCAATCATTCTTTCTTACTTATTTTTAAACTGCCTGAATATTCTCCTTCAGCCTACCTCATCCATCCCTTAGGGTCATGCCAGGAAAGAGTTAACTTCTGGTGAAAGTTGACCCCTTAGTCATACAAGTCAGTATTTTTTAGCACTGGCAAGACTTGCACTGTCTCCTGAAGCCAAAGGGTCAAAATCCTGTACTTGTGGAATGTTATGCAAGCATGGTGACTTATGACACCATCAGATTTGCAAATTTGCCCAAATGGTCCTGTAAAATGACATTGTGAACCTGAGATGCCTAAAATACAGAAATGGAAATATATTGTCAGGTAGCAGTTACTGTTGTTTTCCTATATTAATAGTTTTCTAGTGGCTTAAGTAGAATTTAAAGAGTTCCAAATTCACAGTTTATACTGCTAGGATGAAATCCCTTATCACGGGTGAATCAAGAGGCAAATGCTTGGGCCAGGTTTGCTGACATCAAATGAAAAGGCCTCACTGACTTGAGCAGATGTCATTATCTCTGATGCAGTCCCAAGCAGTGTCAAGTGTCAAGATCAAGCCCAGGGGCTGCAGCCCCTTCTGCGGTGGGGATGTCAGAGCTGCAGGAAACCTCAGACTGCTCCAAAGCTCCATGTGTCTTCCTAGTAATAAGTTCACACCATAGGCTGCAGACCAACAAGAGAGCACCATAGGGACCATTCATGTAGTAAATTTTGTACTACTTCGAAATTTTTTATTATTTTTTTTTCAAACAATCATTTGAGTTGGAAAGTATCTTTTAAGATAATCATGTCTTAACTGGTCAATACCAAGCTCACCACTGACCGCCCAATTTGCTGTCATCTATTAATTGACTGTAGTGGGGTTTAGCGCTGGCTAAAATCATCAGTGCACCTACCAGAATTATTTACTCGTTTCCTGCTTTAAGATATGAATTAGGAGGAAGGCAAAGGAGGCTCAAAGCTTAAAAGGTATAAAGAAAACTTTATTAACAGAACTACAAGAATAATAACAATCAGAATAAAACCTTCAGAACACTTCTCTGTCCCTCTCCACAACTTCTTTTCTTTGCCAACTGACAATATAGAGACAAAACCTGGGATCTTCAATCAGTTACCACCTCTACAACAGTCTTTCATCAGCTCCTGTAGGGAGAGGAGTTTCTCTCACCATGCCATGGAGACTTCTCCACAAGAAACAGTTCTCTCATGGCTTCAATGTCACAGCGAATCAGCTGCCCAGGAGCGGAAAATCTGTTTGCAGTGTGAAAGTCCCTCCCATGCCTTGCAGCTTTCCCACAGCTGCTTTCATGGACCATGTCAACTTATGGGGTACTATTTTAAGGATGAGCTGTTCTGGCATAAAAAAACCCAAAAGTTCTCTTCTTTTATCTCTGGGAACAGAAGCTCTTCTTCTATCTCTGGAGCAGAGTTTCTCATCTCTCACTCTGTTCAAGCTTCTCATTAGATTACAGCTTTTCAGCATCCACACGCTCCAGCAGGAGTGCCCTTTTCTCATGGGCTGTGGGTAAATGCTGCATCTCCCCCCATGTGCTTCATGAATTACAGGGGAAAAACAAAGTCTGATATATCAAACATGTATCTTCACCATAGCCTTACGCAGTGAATTTCAGCCAAAGACCAAGGCATCTCCTCAATCCCCTCCTAACTAGAATTTGACTCCTTCTGACCTCTGTGTCCCATGTTGTTTTCCTCACGTGTCTTCACCCTTTCCTCTTCCTGATTCGGGAGAGAATTGGTGTTCGTAGGTTCGTTTGTTCTCGAGCTTTATCAACTGAAGCAGTTTTTACGGAGTTCTGCGGCACTGAAAAGTTGATCTCATGCGGGCTGTGCATCAAGGAGATCGCTTGCCGTGCCTCTGGCTGCTGCTCACGGGGTCTCTGCCCACACCGTGTGAGCCGTGCCGCCCGCCGGCTTCACTCTGCGCTTTTCTTCATGCGGAGCGCCGAAAACAAGCAGAGCTGCTGCTGCCGTTTCTGTCCTTCTGTCCGCACCATGGCTGGCTAAAAGCGGCTAAACAAACAAAGTTCATTGCGAGACATGCTGAAGCAGCCACGGCCGGACGCTGCTGTTCTGGTTGCGTTGATTTTTCAGCCCTGCAGTCCCGCCCCCGGCCGCTCCTGGCCTCGGGGCCGCTCCCAGCGCCGATGCAGCCCCCGGCTGGCACGG